CAGTAAATGTTTATGGAAGTAGATTGCCCAGTCTTGTTTTCATGGAGTGGCTGGTGGGTTTGAACCACCAACCTTCTGATTAGCAGTCAGATGCCTTAGGCACTGTGCTACCAGAGGTCCTTGGACTGGGGTCATGGAACCCCCTAAAAGTCCTTCCAAGTCTGCTATCCACAGAGTACATCTGGCCAAGTTTAATTCTCATCACAGCAACCCTAAGAACCAGTTACTATTCTTGCTCCTGTTTTAGAGATGGGGAAACTGAGGCCCTGAGGAGTAAAGTGACTTGTGAAAGGCTACAAGGGTGGTGAGTGGCAGGACAATGAAGACCATAAAGTGAAGAGCAAATGACATAGTGAATAAATAACTCAGTATAAGAAGTATTGAACAAGCCCCTGAAAGGGTGGCTAATGAGACTCTGAAACAACAAATAAGCATTGTGTAGATGGAAAAAATTAAGGAATCCCAGAGCAGAGGAATAAATGGTTCAAGGCTCAATTCAGCAGACAGAGAGTGGAGGAACTACAGAAAGAGAGCTGAGAAATTACTGAAATAGTGAAAGAACCAAATAGATGAATTCCTTTGGGAGGAGGCAATGGGGCATGGTGAGAACATGGTCAGGAAGTGACGGAGTTGCTGATCTTGCAACGCAGCAGACAAATAAAGTAAAAAAAAAAAAAAAGGTGGGTGAACTCATGAATTAACTGAACTAACAGAAGACTAAGAAGGTACAAACTGTTAAGCACTCCTGTCACCAACTGAAAGGTTGGCAGTTTAATTTGAGGGAGCCTCGTGCTGTCTGGAGACTTCTGACAAATCCTGGACACTGTGGTTACACTGGAAGGATTAACCCAGCTACTCTGCGGAAGAAAGAGCTGGCAATCTGCTTCTGTCAAGATGACAGCCAAGAAAACTCTATGGTACAGTTCTACTCCATCACATGGGGTCACTATGAGTAGGAATTGACTCAATGGCATCTAATAACAACAATAGATGACTCCATGGCACAGAGGAGGAGTCAGATGATTCTGATGAGTGTAAGGGAGGTTGAATACACAGTGGGTGGGCAAGAGGGTGCCATACTTACCCCTTGATGAGTCGATAGACCACACAGCAGTCCTGATTGAGACCCCGCACTTTAAGAGCCTTGTCTAGAGAGTCGTAGACACTCATCCCATCCCGGACTGTCACCTGTGTTTGCATGCATATGTAGGAATTCTCAGTGCCCAACAGGGGCCCCAGCAGACTCCCCCACACCTCCACAAACGCTTCCTCTATTCCTTGTCTATCTCAGACCTACAACTGGGTCCATTCCCAATCCCACTCAGTTTTGCCCATATGGGACTCACCACCGTGCGTTGCTTGTTGGGCAGGTAAACTTTGACAGTGCCCACTGCCCGGGATGGCTCAGCCCCGTTGGCAGGGGGGGCCCGTGGCAGCTCCATGGAGCCTAGGACTTTGTCAAGATGGGCTGAGATGGGGCTGGGCAGGTTCCATGGGGTTTCTAGGAGAAGAGAGACAGAAGAGGAATTTGGAGGTCCAATAATAGTACTCTGGAAGCAAAGTGACAAGAGATTAAGTAAAATTCAATCACCAAAATTAATTGAGAGATTTAGCATAGTGGTAGGATATAAGATCAACATATAAAAATCAGTTGGATTCCTCTACACCAGCAAAGAGATTGCTAATAAGGAAATCAATACCATTTACAATAAACCAAAAAAATAAAATAAATAAAATAAAAGCCCTCATTGCCATCGAGTCAAATCCGACTCACAGTGACTCCTCCTTGGGTTTCCAAGGTGGTATCACTATGGAAGTAGAT